ATGTGCGCTCACCTATGCAGAATGGGGCTGAATATGGCGGCTGGTCCGACGGTTCGGCTATCATGGAGATTTGGATTGTGTTGTCTGGCCTGCAGCACAGCTTCAACAGAGCGCCTCTGCAAGGAAATGGTAGCGGGTACCAGCAAGTGCGTCGATGTTGGAAGAGTGTTTTTCACGGCGGGTGTGGTACAGCATGGGTGGAACTATGCGGGCAGCTGTGGTTTGAAAGGCTTCATAGTGCCATCGTGTACTCGCTGCGGCAAATGCCGTAGGGGCTGAGGGCACCGCTGAATAATACCAATTGAACACCGGGTGCTGACATGGCTGCTTGCGAACTTACTCTGGCTGCCGTTAGGCATACAGGTTGCGAAGCAGCTCAGCAGCAATGAACGCTGGCTGGGAAAGCGACAGAGCCAGTAGTCACGATATTGCGTCTGCTGCAGGAGGCGGCTGTTGGGGAGCAGGGAGTGCGTATGGCGGCTCATGAAGCTGAGGCTCCATGTGCGCCAAGATCTGTAGGGCCCAGCTGGAGAGAGAGGCTGGCTGGACACGTCGGTTATGGTGGCGGTTGAACGTTTGATGACTGGCCGGCGAGAGCGATACCACATAGCGCCTCTGCTCAGTAGTTCCATCTGCAGATCTGTCGTGAAGCATGAGCGGTGGAGCGATACCTGCAACAGCGGTTGCACCGTCTGCATAGGTTCGCAGATTCACCGTGTACTCGCTGCGGCAAATGCCGTAGGGGCTGAGGGCAACGGTGAATAATACCAAGTGAACACCGGATGCTTACATGCTTGTGTGGGGACGGACATTCGCTACGGTTAGTTATGCCGACTGCGGAGCCGAGTGGCAGCGGTTAACGATTGTCGAGAAAAATGGTGTTTCAGGAAACTGATTGGACCTCTATGGCGGCAGGTGGGCGTTGCGGAGCAGGGAGTGCGTGCAGCGGCTCATGACACTGAGGGTGCATGCACGCAGAGCTCTGTAGAGTGCCGCAGAAGGCAGCGACTGATTCGATGGCTCGGTTATGATGGCGGTTGAACGATTGATGACTAGGCGGAGAGAGAGGTCCCACAGAGCACATCTGCTT